TATTGGAGCTTTCTTAAAGCCTAATAGGATATCTTTCTCACCCATATTTCTCTATGTATAATACGATTACATTAATAAAACCTTTATTGAACTGCGGAAAGACTTCATCAGCAGCTGAAGGAGAAGAGCTAAGAAAATAGTCCACAATTCCAGGCAAGAAAAGAACCCTTGCAAATATATAATTCTACCAGTCAACAATACAAGCAATAACCTACCCAAATCCTTAGCTAAGATCAACGTCAAGATTATCAACATACTACCCAGCATCATAAAGATTTTTTTTTAAAAAGAAGTCCATAACAAAAACACTAGCTGCTACATGAAATCATGTGGAGCCTGTGATACATTTTACGTAGGTGAAACCACCATGGACCTGAATACAAGGATCGGAATAACCAGCGAGAGAAATGACAATTACAATGCCACACTATTCACCTCGACAAGGAAAACCATCTGTTGAATTTTCTCATTGCCAAATTAATTGTCAAGGAAGCAGGCAGAAGTTGTAGGCTCTGCTTGGAATCAGCTCTGATTACTACATATAACACCATTACACAAAGGTCAGGTTCATCGTTAATTTCGGAAAGATTAAACCATACCCCCGGCTGGGATTGAACCCGCGGTCATAGTCTCAAAACTCCAGCCCGTCGCGTTAGCCACTAGACCAGCTAGCCACAATAAGATTCATCCAACTAGGTATATTTCTACACCATAGGAAAGTTAGCACAGGCACCTCTGTGACCACAAATGCAAGTTTTTACAGACGAATCTCCAGCTAGCGTGGCCGTGATGAACTCTAGCTCAAGTCCCTTCACTGCCGTCAACATGACTCAAGAAATCGTAATGACACGATTGCAAATAAACCATACCCCCGGCCGGGATTGAACCCGCGGTCACAGAGGTCACAGAGGTGCCTGTGCTAACTTTCCTATGGTGTAGAAATATACCTAGTTGGATGAATCTTATTGTGGCTAGCTGGTCTAGTGGCTAACGCGACGGGCTGGAGTTTTGAGACTATGACCGCGGGTTCAATCCCGGCCGGGGGTATGGTTTATTTGCAATCGTGTCATTACGATTTCTTGAGTCAAGTTCGGAAAGATTGACCAAACTTATCTTCACCAGACATATTGCATACTGTGTTTTATTCTCATACTTGTCGATATTTCACCATTGATATCACATTATAAGAATACCTGTAAAAGAAAATTATTAGTTGTTGAATATTTAATAATTAATTTGGGAGATATGAATAAGTTAGAATTGATTTTATTTACACAGGAGAAACTGTTTCCATTTTTAATTTAAAATAAATCACTCTTAAATATTAATAATGCTTTTACCTAATTTAATTAATATTTTTAAGTGACCTACAATCAAGACACTGTATAGCCCTTGTGGTTTAGCGCTTCTTTTTTATTATAATAATCTTAACAAGACAAGCGTAGCGTAAAGATACGTTTCGCAACTTTACCTCCAAAATTTGGTTACTATTGCTAAGAGAAACCCCCCTCAAGGAAGGTTCCTTGATGTTGGTGAGGGGCTCTTGATTTAGGGAATTGGATCTGTGCTCCAGTTCCCCGAATTAAACCTGAATGCCTTCCACATCCCCCCCCCAGGCACTGTATAATCCTCCGGGTTTAGCGCTTCCCCCTTGATTATAATAATAATGCTAAGAGAAACCAAATTCTGACATTTTTAAGGCCCGAATCTATCATAGGGTTGACACGTAAATAAGAAGATAAGTGGCTGCAGCATCTCAAGTGTAATGTTACATTAAGAGTTAGTACAAGATGTCAACCTCGTCACACACAATCTCTTCACTCTAATGAACTCGGTTTTAACTAGCCAATATGGCATTTATTTACTTTATACTTTTCTTGAAATAAAGACTGGAACAAGGTCGTGAAGGTATGTGGTAAGAATGCATTTGGTCGTATGAAGAAACGGTATGTTAAAATAGCATCAAAGGGAGGTTCCTTGATGCTGGTGAGGGGCTCTTGATCTAGGGAACTGGATCTATGCTCCAGTTAGCTTGCATTAAGCTTGAATGCATTGAGCCCCCTACCCCTACTGGCGCTGTATATTCCATACGGGTTTAGCGCTCCTCCACGAAAATTTAGAACAAGGTCCATGAAAGTACTGGTCACGATAATACTGTTTCACGACAGTACTGGGTCAAGGCAGATCTGGACCACGACAGTACTGGGTAACAGTACTGGGCCACGACAGTACTGGGTAACAGTACTGGGCCACGACAGTACTGGGCAACAGTACTGGGCCACGACAGTACTGGGCAACAGTACTGGGCCACGACAGTACTGGGCAACAGTACTGGGCCACGACAGTACTGGGCAACAGTACTGGCCACGACAGTACTGGGCAACAGTACTGGGCCACGACAGTACTGGGCAACAGTACTGGGCCACGACAGTACTGGGCAACAGTACTGGGCCACGACAGTACTGGGCAACAGTACTGGGCCACGACAGTACTGGGCAACAGTACTGGGCCACGACAGTACTGGGCAACAGTACTGGGCCACGACAGTACTGGGCAACAGTACTGGGCCACGACAGTACTGGGCAACAGTACTGGGCCACGACAGTACTGGGCAACAGTACTGGGCCACGACAGTACTGGGCAACAGTACTGGGCCACGACAGTACTGGGCAACAGTACTGGGTCACGACAGTACTGGGCAACAGTACTGGGTCACGACAGTGCTGGGCAACAGTGCTGGGCCGCGACAGTGCTGGGCAACAGTGCTGGGCCGCGACAGTGCTGGGCAACAGTGCTGGGCCGCGACAGTGCTGGGCAACAGTGCTGGGCCGCGACAGTGCTGGGCAACAGTGCTGGGCCGCGACAGTGCTGGGCAACAGTGCTGGGCCGCGACAGTGCTGGGCAACAGTGCTGGGCCGCGACAGTGCTGGGCAACAGTGCTGTGGCCGCGACAGTGCTGGGCAACAGTGCTGGGCCGCGACAGTGCTGGGCAACAGTGCTGGGCCGCGACAGTACTGGGTCGCGACAGTGCTGGGCCGCGACAGTACTGGGTCGCGACAGTGCTGGGTCGCGACAGTGCTGGGTCGCGAGAATCTTTTCCCTGGGTCGCTGGTCCATCAATCCAACTTAGCATGTATATTAAAAAAATTTATTTTCATTTATTGTACATAAACAAAATGAATCTCCCTAAATTAATACATTATAACTTGACTCTAGCGAGTCAAACGCACTAATATCTGCCTATTCTTTTTTAATTCCACGGCAGACTATTTTTTAACTGAAAACTGGAGTACGGTGGTTAATGGATGTGATATTATTACACCGATTTGTGACGAAAATATGCTGCACTGCTCCATTATATTGTATCATGTCCTCAGAATCAAGATTCCATGATGCAGTGTCTGACAAGTTGTGCAAGAATGGTATATAATACCGACAAGATGAAATTAATTTAATCTTGTCGGTATTATATACCATTCTTGCACATATTGTATCTCCTCGAGTTATACCTGGAGGGTGTTCCGGAGGTTATGTCAGTGCCTCCACGGCCAGGTCCTCAGTGTCTCATATCCAACTAATTCAAAACGCCTCCAAATATACCTCTCAGAAAATGGTGAAGTACCAGTAGAGTACATCTGCATTTAGTGTTGGGTAAATAAATTGGTGTTTTATGAGACAGTAACGTGTTAAACAACCAATATATAAGCATTTTTAGATATTTTATACATAGGTTGCACTCCTTTGATTAACTATATTATATGAGCGCAATATATAAAATAAGTGTAATATTTTTGTGTGTGACTGTGCCCGGTGGGGTCTGACAGACCCATTGTTACCTCCGTAATCATGCGCTTTTTGCACTGCTGCTCACAGGGGGAGCTGAGGTTTGACAATATACTGGCCGGTCAGGGAGCACAAAAAAACATTTGTTCAATATTGGTTGGCTTTTGTGCGTGACTGTATCTCCAGGTTTCCTATAGCAGGACTTTATAAAGCTCACGGCTGAGCTTAGCTTTGAGCGTTACGTTTTCAGGGATAAGTCGGGTAGTAAAGGTTCGTTATTGTTAAGTGTCTTTGTTTTACTTCGTGTCATCTTATTTGATGTTCATAATATAAGGTATATGTCAATAGCACTTTGAAATCTGGCTGCGAGAAGTCTTTTTTGCTTAGTACAGAGGGGACGGAGGATCGAGCATTCACGATTCGTAGCGATTTATGACCTACACTGGTTTTCGTCGCACTTCCGTTAATAGTAATAATAATAATAATAAATACTAATAATAATACTTATTATTATTATTATTTTTAACAAATACGTAATAAAGATATTGGCTTCTCATCTGTTCACTTGACCTATTTTATTACGTTACACAGTTTTTCTTTTACTTTCGACTTGAATTTGGTTCAGGACGGACCTAAGCGCAGACTTAAGATTTGTCTCAAAATTGTGGATAAAGTTGTAAGCTGCTAAGGTAGTCGTTGAGCAAAGTTGAGACAGGATAAAGGCTATTAACTTCAATAAACAGTAGCAACCTATGTCCTTAATCCTGTTGAATTATATGGTGTTAATTTCATAAGCTAATTAATGAAAAGACAGAAACAAATGTAAAAAAAAAAAAAATAAAACTAACAGAAGCAAGACAAAAATAAAATTACATAATGACCAATAACATTAAAAGTAATAAATTTTCTGACATATTCAAGACAATTGATTCTGGTAGTGAGCAAACACTGTGGAAATCATTACCAACCTACTGTTACAATGTGACACAGAAGCCTCTTTGAAAGATTTGTTTTACTTTTGGAGAATGCTAGTCTTACCTGTCCATGAACCCGTTCGATAGTCAGCAACTTACTTACCTTTCTTTCTTGAACAAAGATATTTATGTCAAAAAAAAAAAAATCCTTGAGGGTTAGCCTAAAACTACGACGTGGAGGAGAAGACTTCATGAAACACTGAGAGTTAGGAGAAAGAGAACAGAGGGTCCGCTAACACTCACCTTATCATCGTGGTACCAGAAGATGAAGGCTGGTGGTTCTGGGCTGTACTTGACACTGCAGGTGAGAGATAAGCGGCTTCCTGTGTTGATGTAAACATCAGGGCCTCCCACAATCACTGTCTCCGGCTCTGAAGGAAACAGACTGAGGTAAACCGCTGTAGTTTGCATGCTCAGTTATACACGCACTCTCATTCATTAACTTATACATCCATTTACATATGCAAAGCTTCAATTTACGTACTTAGAACACTCGCACATACTCAACCCCATTTTAAACTGACATAACACACACTTATAAACAAAACACACAAATGCCCACTGCAATAAACACTCTCGACGGTAGATATACAGCACATACACTTATAAATAAACGCGCACACCCAATGAGACACGCTTATTAAAAACACATTCCTATAATAAACACACACACACACACACACACACACACACACACACACACAGCAACACACAGAATAACACACACACACACACACAGGTGTGACAAGTGACAGCAGTAAGACAAACGAGAGGGGATGGTAGATTGCATTTTCTGAACTGAAGAAGCGTTTGAACAGTTCCCACACAAGAGATTAGTGATACGCTGTAGGACCAGGCAGGTATAACAGGGAAGCACTGCAGGAATCAGAGAATACCTGACTGGGAAGAGAATCAACGAGTCATAGTAACTAAGAAGTGTCAGGCTGGGCGCCTTGACACGGTGGTTCTAACAGGGGTCGGAGTAGGAACCGTGTTTCTGGATACGAAATGACATACGAAGAACAGACTCAGAAGGTCGTTTGCAAACGATGTGAAGTTAATGAAGTCAATCGCAGAACGTCCAAGGCAGACTACAAAGTGATCTGGACAGGCTGCAGGCCCTGGTCCAGCAACAGCTTGGAAAGTCATAAAGACGGGGAAGGGCAAAGAAAACAGCAGACAAAGTACAGTCTCAGGAGAGCAAGAAAATCTACAAACCTCACTCAGAAAAAAGGATCTTAGGGTGAGCAAATGCCGAGCACATCTCCTGAGGCGCACATCAACCAAATACAGCTGCAGCATAGGGCCGCTAACAAACCTAAGAATAGCATTTCCGAAGTCTCACTAAGGAATCGTTAGGAACTCTGTACACGTGTATGTCAGGCCCATACAGAAGTAATGCAGCACCATTTAGGAACCACACCTGGCCCACACCAGAATTAAGAGAATGCAAATGGTTTGCAACAAGACTATACGGAGCTTTAAGGGGACGTTTCATACAAGGAGAGTTTAATGGCCAAAATCGACAGAAGTCACTGAGAAGTGTTGAACATGATAACGTACAATAGAAATACTGAAGAGGAATCGACAAGGTGGACAGACAGGATGTTCAGAGATGGACATCAACAAACAAGGAGTCACAGATGGAAGCTAAGACTCAGATATCAAGGGATGTTAGGAAGCATTTCTCAGTCAAGTTATCAGAAGTGAAACGTCTGGAAATGTAGACATAGTAGTAGGCAAGGATCCATACTAGACTTAGAGGTAGAAAAGCTCACGAGCCACCAGTGAAGAGTCGTGGGCCAGAACTATAGTTTGACCCCTACAACCACAATTAGGGGGAGCAATTAGTGAGGTACGCCACAAAACACACCTCTACTAAATCATCTTTAAGGGACCTGGTTGCAGTATAGTTAAATTTTGGTTCCCCGCAAGAAGTCCACAAATCCAGTGTGATTATATAGAAGGGAGAAGGTTCAATGAAAATCGACAGACGAGAAAAGCTTTAGTGTCGTTGTCAGAAAACATGAAGTTCAGTATGAATAACAAGACAGGACTGAAAGTCCAAAATATACAGATCATTTCTTCTCCATATTTAATTTTCCGTCATGTGAAACTTAGTTTATAACACCTATGTCATAACAAATGTTGAAAAGTCAAACACACTGGTCTGGGAACCTGCATAAACAAAGGTACTTCGAGTTCTTGAAGAACCCAGGAGATTCGTAAAGATTATAACAGATGGCAACAGATGTTGATAGCTCATTATAGGTCCCTGATAGCTCATTAGAGGTCCCTGATAGCTCATTAGAGGTCCCTGATAGCTCATTAGAGGTCCCTGATAGCTCATTAGAGGTCCCTGATAGCTCATTAGAGGTCCCTGATAGCTCATTAGAGGTCCCTGATAGCTCATTAGAGGTCCCTGATAGGTCCCAGTATAGAGGGCCCCTGATAGGTCAGTAGAGGTCCCCGATAGGTCAGTAGAGGTCCCCGATAGGTCAGTAGAGGTCCCCGATAGTCAGTAGAGGTCCCCGATAGGTCAGTAGAGGTCCCCGATAGGTCAGTAGAGGTCCCGATAGCTCAGTAGAGGTCCCGATAGTCAGTAGAGGTCCCCGATAGTCATAAGGTCCCGATATTCGTATCCCCAAGTCAGTAAGGCCCCCAATTTAAATTTTGTATGTGTGATATTATAACCGCTGCAATTCAAACCCAATAGTTCAGTAAGGTCCCGATAGCAGTAGTTCCCTAGTTCATGTTGAGGTCCCCATGCAGTAGAGGGAATACAAAGGTAACATAATTAATATTAAGTTACCCGAAAGTCATAAGTATAGTTCATAAGAGGGCCACGATAGTCAGTAATTCGTATATAGGTCCAATGTTCAATAAGTGCATTCGATCCCAAAAAATTAACCAATTTCTGTTGTGTGATAGACCTGCCTGGGTAAAACCAAAGTGAATAAATATACATTTAGACCTTTTCTACGCATCTTGGGGGGGAAACGTTTACATTTATATTAATTTACAAGACTAACAGAAATAATTAGTTGCACCCTCTGTGAAAGATAATTACGTATTTGTGAAACCCGGTAGAAAGGGTGATCCAAACTTTGTTAATAGGTCCCTTTGGTTGATCCTTTTTCTTTAGCTGAGTCGGTTGTTTTAATGGAAACAACGGAAAAATTATTAGACAGTTTTGCATGAATATGTTGTGTGTTAAAGGGTCCTGAAGGGTTGATTTTTAAAGGGGCAAACGTCCAGAATAATTTTTCATTCTGTCTCGCGATTTGAATTTGTTGCGTCAACAAATGCAAAAATGCTCTTCTCTATTTGTTGAGTTTAGCACTTATTCCCCCTCAAGGGAGGTTCCTTGACGCTGGTGAGGGGCTCTTAATCTAGGGAATTGGATCTGTGCTCAGGTTCCTTGAATTGAGCCTGAATGCTATCTCCGCCCCCCCCATATAAGCTGTAATAATCCTATGGGTTTTAGCGCTCCCCCAAGATAATAATAATTATCATTTTTGATAATTCACTATGTATCGGCGAAAATAGCAACGCTAGTAACATGCTCCACCAGCTAGTGTTTATCCAAGCAATTCAGGAACTCTTCCCATTACATATATGGTCAAATTCACAATTTCACGAAGTCAATCCTTGAAATGGCAGAACAAGAGATCAGACTTTTATTTCCAGAAATTAAATTCTCTGAGCTTCATAAGTTATTATAAATATTTAAATAATGATGTAACAACGATGACTGGGTACAAATTCGGATTTTTCTGGAAGACTATTAAGACAATAGAATTATCATGGGGGAGCGCTAGAGACGGGTAGGGATTATACAGCGCCTTGGGTGGGGGGGGGGAGGGGAAGAGGATGGTGGGGTGATGAATAATGTGAACGAGTGATGTCATGAACAGTTGTAAGACGAGTGATGTATAAAGCAGTGTTGAATATCAAAAATGGTATATAATACCGACATGGTTGGTAGGTAAGACACATAGGTAACAGTTAGGCAACTTTATTCCGAAACGTTTCGCCTACACAGTAGGCTTCTTCAGTCGAATACAGAAAGTAGGCAAGAACAGTAGAGATGCGAAGACGATGTAATCAGTCCATCACCTACTTCTGTATTCGACTGAAGAAGCCTACTGTGTAGCGAAACGTTTCGGATATAAAGTTGCCTAACTGTTGCCCATGTGTCTTACCTACCAACCTGTCGGTATGGTATACAATTTTAATGTTCATCTTGTCAGACACTGCAACACATGGCATCTTGTTACAGAAAACACCTTGGACAAGCTTTTCAAGTGAGAATTGTTGGATCTGAGAGGGACATGACCTCTCAGTGGCTACATTCTCACTACTACTACTATGCACCTCTCCTTAAGATAGTATTTAAGTCTCCGCACTGTCGCTTGATCTTCAGATAGTTCCAGACTATGGAACTGAACTTCTCCAGGCTGAGGGACTGACAACCTCAAATCTACGACTTCAAGGGTGATGAACAGATTACATCGTCTTCACATCTCTACTGTTCCTGCCTGCTTTCTGTATTCGACTGAAGAAGCCTACTGTGTAGGCGAAACGTTTCGGAATAAAGTTGCCTAACTGTTGCCTATGTGTCTTACCTATAAGCAGTGTTGCAAGACGAGTGGTGTCATAAGCAGTGTTGCAAGACGAGTGGTGTCATAAGCAGTGTTGCAAGACGAGTGGTGGTCATAAGCAGATTGTTGCAGACGAGTGGTGTCATAAGCAGTGTTGCAAGACGAGTGGTGTCATAAGCAGTGTTGCAAGACGAGTGGTGTCATAAGCAGTGTTGCAAGACGAGTGGTGTCAGCAGTGTTGCAAGACGAGTTGTCAGCAGTGTTGCAAGACGAGTTGTCAGCAGTGTTGCAAGACGAGTGGTGTCAGCAGTGTTGCAAAACGAGTGGTGTCAGCAGTGTTGCAAGACGAGTGGTGTCAGCAGCAGTTGCAAGACGAGTGGTGTCGGCAGCAGTTGCAAGACGAGTGGTGTCGGCAGCAGTGTTGCAAGACGAGGGGTGTCATCAGCGGTGTTGCAAGACGAGAGGTGTCATCAGCAGTGTTGCAAGACGAGGGGTGTCATCAGCAGTGTTGCAAGACGAGGGGTGTCATCAGCAGTGTTGCAAGACGAGGGGTGTCATCAGCAGTGTTGCAAGACGAGGGGTGTCATCAGCAGTGTTGCAAGACGAGGGGTGTCCATCAGCGGTGTTGCAAGACGAGGGTGTCATCAGCGGGTTTGCAAGACGAGGGTGTCATCAGCGGTGTTGCAAGACGAGGGGTGTCATCAGCGGTGTTGCAAGACGAGGGGTGTCATCAGCGGTGTTGCAAGACGAGGGGTGTCATCAGCGGT